AGTATAATATTTTTTTTTATTTGAGACAAGATTCTTACTTTATTGCCCCAGGCTACAAACCTCAACTCCTGGGCTCAAGGGATCCTCCTGCCTCAGCCTCCCAAGTAGCTGGGACTTAGATACCCACCACAATGTTTTGATAATTTTATTCTATTTTTAGCAGAGACAGGTTTTTGAGCTTGCTCAGGCTGGTCTTGAACTCCTGAGCTCAAGCAATCCTCCCACCTTGGCCTAGGATTATAGCCACTGCACTAGGCTGATAATATTATCTTAAACCTACACTGCCCTAGGCTGATAATATATCTTAAACCTACTTTTTCCTGAAAAAAGTGGAACTAGAATTGTTTTAAGTAAATAACAAGAAAATAGGGCTGCGCTTGTGGCTCAGTGGGCAGGGCACTGGCCCCATATACCAAGGGTGGCGGGTTTGAACCTAGCCCCAGCCAAACTGCAACAAAAATATAGCCAGGCGTTGTGGCAGGCACCTGTAGTCCCAGCTACTTGGGAGGCTGAGGCAAGAGAATTGCTTAAGTCCAGGAGTTGGAAGTTGCTGTGAGCTGTGATGCCACAGCACTGTACCAAGAGCAATAAAGTGAGACTCTGTCTCTAAAAAACCCCAAAAAACAAAAAACAAGAAAATACACTATTGTGGTATTTGTACAGTTAAGATAATCCAAATAAAAACACACACCCAAATTGGCACTTACATTATTCCAGACTAAAGTTTATATATATTTAATTATATGTACAACCAAATGGCTAAATAAATGAACATTTCCCTAAAACATGCATATAGTGAAATTTTTTATAGTTAATCTTATGAGGCTCAACTAAATTGTACATCATCAACTATCATGATTAGAGCTTTATGCACACTAGGAGGGTTACAACTTTAACATCTGTTGTTCTGTGAAACTGAAGGTAAGATAAGATATGATCAAACTCAGGCATTTCACTAGAAAATTTTATGTCTCTCAACAACCTGTCATACTGCCTATCATCAAACAAATGGACTCTAAAATGCAGGTACTCTTTTCTAAAATTTTAATGTCTACTATAGCTTGTTACAAACCATTTTAATCAAGTCACATTTCTTGGAGAAAATTCACTCAGGGTTCTGAAAGAATTTTTTTCTATAAGCACCTTAGCCTCGAGTGATGGAGTTGTCGCTTGCTTAGAAGTGTTTTTCTTTTCAAAAATAATGAAATATATGCACAGATCTCTTTACTGACTCATTTAAATGTAAAGATTAATTGGGAGAATATAATAAATTTTCGGAATACACTAACATGTATTTCATGGTTTATTTGTTTATTAGTTAAATAACTAGCTATAAACTTAGACAAGTTATTTGATTTCCCCATGCCTTAGTTTCATCTTTAAAAAGATTAGAATAGAAATTTCTAAGGTTTCTTCCTCCTCTCACATGGTGCGATTCTGTGCTTCTTAACTGATAAACTGAATCTTTCATAAATCAAAAGAACTGATGCACAGCTGAACTAAAACAGTTAGAAAAAAACACAAATACCATGTTCAAAGATCAGTTTCCCTAACCTTACTAGACCCAGCCCCTCTTCAGCCAGGCAAATAGCCTATAGAGTTACAACCAAATATCTTAGTTACATAAATTACTTTTAAATTATATTGTAAATCCATCAGAATATATTAAGTCTATGCCACAGTTTTCCTACATTCTAATTTACATTATTTTCATTCTATCTACAGTTAGGATAATCTGTAAAGGGCCTAGTTAATATTCTTGTACTCTTAAACACTAGTAACAGTTAAATGAAACACAGATGAAGAGTAGAATATGAATAATTATCATATTCAGCCAAAATTATAATAGAAGTATGCTAAATACTATTTATGAGCTAGAAAAACAAGGCAAAGGTAAAAAAGGAAATCCTGGCTCGGCGCCTGTGGCTCAAGTGGCTAAGGCGCCAGCCACATACACCTAAGGTGGCGGGTTCGAATCCAGCCTGAGCCCGCCAAACAATGATGGCTGCAACCAAAAAAAAAAAAAAGTAGCCAGGCGTTGTGGCAGGCGCCTGTGGTCCCAGCTTCTTGGGAGGTGGAGGCAGGAGACTCGCTTGAGCCCAGGAGTTGGAGGTTGCTGTGAGTTGTGATGCCACAGCACTCTACCCAGGGGGACAGATTGAGGATCTGTCTCAAAAAAAAAAAAGGAAATCCTCCTGATGAATGCTCATGATCAAATGAATTGTGTTTTGCCATTATTTACAAAAAGACAGGAGGCAGAGGATGTTAGAAGAAACCTGCATGGGTAACACTGAACCGTGACATTCCAGCAGCTTTTATGAAAAATTACTGTACCACAAAGCAGTATTTTGGTACCACTACAGGGCAAACTGGTTTTTCTTTGTCTAATCATGGGCAGCAAATGAGGCACTTAACTGTTAAATAGAAATATAGGAAATATTTAAGAACACATTCAAATCATTAATAAAAAATAATTAACATTATTCAAAAAGTAAAAAATCCTGGGGTGGCACCTGTGGCTCTAAAGGGTAGGGCGTTGGCCCCATATGCAGAGGTGGCGGGTTCAAACCCAGCCTTGGTCAAAAACTGCAAAAAAAAAAAAAGTAAAAAATCCTTGGCCAGTGCAGTGGCTCACAGGTATAATCCTAGCACTCTGGGAGGGTAAGCTGGGTCAACAGCTTGAGCTCATAAGTTTGAGATCAGTCTAAGCAAAAGCAAGACACCTTCTCTACTAAAAATAGAAAAATAACTAAGGCAAAAGGATTGCTTGACTGCAAGAGTTGGAGGTTGCTGTGAGCTATGACACCACAGCATTACCCAGAGTGACAGCTTGAGATTGTCTCCAAAAAAAAAAAGTAAAAATACCAATTTTTATTTAACATGTATTCAGTGTTACAGGTTTCGCTAGGGAAAGACCTTTTGAAGGTAAGGCTGCTGTTTTGTTTATGAAACAGGAAATTTTTCTTTTTTTAAGGGATTCTGAATTTCTGAGAATGAAATCCAGTCATCTTAACCTGAGTGCTACATATTTATAAACCAAGAAAATTACATCTTACCATACTAGAGAAATGCTTATGACTATCAACAATATCATGTACCATGTGATCCTCCACTTCATTCTTGAAGGATCAGATTTTATTTTATTATTTTATTTTTTCTTTTGCAGTTTTTGGCCGCGGCTGGGTTTGAACCCACCACCTCTGGCATATGGGGCTGGCGCCCTACTCCTTTGAGTCACAGGCACCACCCAGATTTTATTTTATATAACTTCAAAGAAGGGGACCCAGGGCCAGGCGCAGTGGCTCTGAGAGGCTAGGGCGGATGGATCCCGAGCTCATGAGTTACAGACCAGCCTGAGCCAGAGCCAGACCCTGTCTCTAAAAATAACAGGGCACTGTGGCACGTGCCTGTAGTCCCAGTTACTTGGCTACTTGGGAGGCTGAGGCAATAGAATCGCTTGAGCTCAAGAGTTTGAAGTTTCTGTGAGCTGTGGCACCATGGAACTCTACTGAAGTTGACAATGTGAGACTGTCTCAAAAAAAAAAAAGAAGGGGACCCATGATTACGACAGAATAATGAATAGATATTTAGCACCTACATTTTTTTTTTTTTTTGAGACAGAGTCTCAAGCTGTCGCTGTGGCATCATAGCTCACAGCAGCCTCTAGCTCCTGGGCTCAAGCAATTCTCCTGCTTCTGCCTCCCAAGTAGCTGGGCTACACCCACCACTTGCCCAGCTATTTTTTTTTTTTTTTTTTTTTTTTTGGTTGCACCCGGCATTGTTTGGCAGCCGGGGCTGGATTCGAACCGGTCAGCTCAGGTGTAAGGTGTAGCTGGCACCTTAGCCACTTAAGCCACAGGCGCCAGGCCTTTAGCACCTAAATTTGAGAACACATATGTATTGCCGTACTTTTAAATGGTTGTATGTCCTTAGGCTGGGGAAAATCAAATGTGTGTTGTTCAACTACATTAAAACATTCTCAAAGATTAAAGTAACAAGCTTCCAAAATTATCCTTTATTTATAAATGCATCTACCTACAACATTCAAATCCAAACTTATTTCTTCCTAAAGTTACAGATATATATTATTTTTAACAAGTGAGGTTTATTTTTTTTAACCACCATTGAATTGTCTTCCAAATGTGGCACTTTTCAGAGGTTAGATAAAAAATAGTTCTTTAAAAAAAAAAAAAAACTCATTCATATTCTACCACTAGTATTATTTTAAATGACATTCTTCACTCTGGGGCAGAGGTCAAAAGTGAAGTGAATGGCCATAGAACTTCTGCCGAAATACATAATATAAGCAGGAACAGAGAAGAACATATATTAATTTCGGACGATATATTGGCACATAAATGCTTATCTGTAGGGTAACAAAACACTCAATGAAAAATTAAATGTTTGCTGTGACATTATTCCAAGTGAATAGAGTCTAGTATCTCCTATCTTCCTATGTAAGTGAAATATTCTTGTGTTGCCTAAGTAAGCTTGATTTCAATCCTAGATGGAACATTTTACTTGACATGTTAAAACTGATACTAACATTAACTAAAGTTTTCCATGAGTCAATTTAATCATCTGCTGAGAAATCCTATAACCTTATCTTTTCTTCCTAAATTTGCTTATATAATTGGAAAGGAATAGACTTCCCTTGACTCAGAAGCGAAGGGGAAAAAGGCTTAAAAAGTCATTCTTACTCAAGGAGATTGGCAAATTTCAGTAATTCAATAATCCTCAGTATATGTCATTTATATTTGCTTTAACAAATTACATTCCTTACTACATAATTAATTTCCTCAGGTACAGAATCAAAATTCTCTCATTTATATCTTTGAGCTTTATATTTACTTTAATATAATATAGTTTATTTTTGAAAGGAAATGAGTACATGAAAGAAACAGGAACATTCTTGATGTAATTCTGTTGTTAAGAAATAAAGTGCATATAGCTTTCAATATAAATAATTTGGTACATTTACAGCTAAGTAAAAAGCTAGGAAAATCAAAATGAAGACTCAGCACAGGATCTAGAATCTGGAAAATATGAGACAAAAATACAAATTCTATATAAACAGTACCAAATTGGGGGAGGAGTATTTCCATTCAAAAAAAGGCAACTGAAAAAATATTTTTAGAGTAAGTTAAGTGAATTTCAGCTTCCCAAGAGCTCAGATATCCAGCTGTACTACACAGTAACACCAACATGCAATAGCTCAAATGTAGAATCACATTCTGGCTGCTGCTCTTGAACTTCCGTATTTAATTTACAATTCTCTGGTATCTGGCTGATTTCATCTTGCAAAGTAGGTGATATGCCATTAGTCTCATCTGCAGAAGCACTGTTAGACAAAGTATCTAACTTTTCTAGGGAACAATGTATGTGAAGCTTATTATCTTCTGACCCTTCATCAGTATCTGTCCTCTCATCAGCCTCTTCTAGCTGTTGAACCGAAGTTAAATACTGTTCAAGCAGACTATTATCCTGCTCATTATTTGAGCTTTCCTTACTGCATTCACCATGTTCTTCTCTAAGGGTATCTCCTAAATTTGATTCTTTGGCATATTTGACAGTGTCAGTGGAATTCCCCATTATGGAGCTTTCACTTCCTTCTGTGGAACTTTTTTCAAAATCCAAAGAATCTTGTAAACAGTGAACTTGTTCTGTTAAGGAGGAATGAAAACCAGAGTCTGGAAATTCTGGAAATGATTTCTCTTGAGGAGCTTCAATAGAAGCAATGAACCAATCAGAATTTTTATTAGATGAGGGTTCCTGACTTTGAGTAAATAATGGAGGATTAGATGGCGCCAGAGTACTTGATAAAGGAGGAACATCAGTATGCCAGGAACTTAGACGCTGGTCCACTGTCTGTTGCCAAACTTGTAGACACCTTACCTACAAACCAGAGGAAATAGTTTTATTATAAAAATCATGTCTGCTTTATAATTGTTCTTTGAGGTTTTTTCCCAGTGGTCATGAAGCTGGTAAATGGTAGAACTAGAATTAGAAACGACCTGACTCTCTTTATCTTTTCCATAGTGCCCCCCAGCCTAAACCCCAGCAGGCACAACTGGTACAAGTCCTTGGTATCAAAAGGCCCTCACCAAGAGGCCACCCTGGGCAACATTGCTACACCTCTTCTCAAAAGGCACAACAAAACAAATTTAAAAAAAGCCCTCACCAGGAGAATAGGGATGGGCTAAATTATCCTGCTTCTACTTGAACAGTCAGAAGAACAATAGTATAGGTCAAATCAATTTAGAGTTCAATAATTATACATTGATATCTATCCAGAAAGACAAATTAGGGCCCACTGATTTAAGCCGATCCTCTATCTATTCTTTAGATATTCGTGTAGATGATACATAAAAGTTTCTAAGTATCATCTAACAATATAGTATATGCAACTTTCTAAAATACCTAAAACATACCAAATTCTGGATAGGATGACATTTATATTTAAAAAGTATAATTAAAGGCTTGGCACCTGTAGCACAGTGGTTACAGCGCCAGCCACATATACCGAGGCTGGCAGGTTCAAACCCAGCTCAAGCAGCTAAAACAACAATGACAACTGCAACAACAACAAAAAAGAAATAGCCGGGCGTTGTGGCGGGCACCTGGAGTCCCAGCTACTTGAGAGGCTGAGGCAAGATAATCACTTAACCCCAAGAGCTAAAGGGGGTGAGCTGTGATGCCATGACACATTACTGAGGGCGACAGTGAGACTCTGTCTCAAAAAAAAAAAAAAGTCTAATTAAAATTTCAAACTTTTACTGTAAAAACTGCAGGCAATAAAGCAATACATAGAATTTTTAGTTTTCGTTTGACCACTCTGCAAGGTAATCACTGACAGCAGTTTGATGACAAACTTTTTTCTATGTAGTATTTCCAAATACGCAGGTAAACCTGATGCAGTGGTGTGCACCGGTAGTCCCTATTGCTCAGAGGCTAAGGGAGGAAGATCACTTTGGCCCAGGAGTTTCAGGCTTAGGGGTGCCATGACTGCACTGTGAATAGCCATTGTACTCCAGTTTGGGCAACATAGCAAGATCCCCATCTGTTTTAAACAAACAAACAAAAACAAACAAAAAAAACCCAGGGAGTTTTTAAAATCAAGTGGAACCTCAAAGTTCTACATCTTACTGTTTTTCACTAAAAATTGCTAATTTGGAGATATTTCCATGTTGGTCTATACTGTTACCTTATTATTTTTAACTGTTCTATAGTATTTTTTGTTGTTGTTTGGGGTTTTTTTTTTGAGACAGAGTCTCACTATTTTGCCCTTGGTAGAGTGCCATGGCATCACAGCTCACAGCAACCTCAAACTCTTGAACTTAAGCATTTCTCTTACCTCAGCCTCCCAAGTAGCTGGGACTACAGGCACCCACCATTTTCCATAGTATTGTTATTCCCCATAATTTATGTAACCATTCTTTTGCTTTTAATAATTATGAAACTTTAAAAAATATTATTTTAATTTTATATGTAAATCCTAAAAATTCTTTTATAAAAATGTTTCTAAGAAATTATCATCAAGAAGTATTTGATGGCTCGGCGCCTGTGGCTCAAGTGGCTAAGGCACCAGCCACACACACCTAAAGTGGTGGGTTCGAATCCAGCCCAGGCCCGCCAAACAACAATGATGGTTGCAACCAAAAAAGAGCTGGGCATTGTGGTGGGCACCAGTGGGTCCCAGCTACTTGGGAGGCTGAGGCTAGAGAATCACTTAAACCCAGGAGTTGGAGGTTGCTAGGTTGCTGTGAGCTGTGATGCCACAGCACTCTACCCAGGGGGACAGCTTGAGGCCATGTCTCAAAAAAAAAAAAAGAAGTATTTGATACAGCTCAGCACGCATAGTTTAGTGAATAGGGCGCCAGCCACATACACCAAGGCTGGTGGGTTTGAGTCCAGCCCTGGCCTGCTAAACAATGACAACTGCAACCAAAAAATAGCCAGGCATGGCTCAGCGCCTGTGGCTCAAGCAGCTAAGGCACCAGCCACGTACACCCAAGGTGGCAGGTTCGAATCCAGCCCGGACCCGCCAAACAACAATGGCTGCAACCAAAAAATAGCCGGGCGTTGTGGCAGGCGCCTGTGGTCCCAGCTACTTGGGAGGCTGAGGCAGGAGACTTGCTTGAGCCCAGGAGTT